GGACTATGTAATGTAAAGTGTACATTGATTTAGAAATTGCCCCTTGCACACAGATGACAAGTGGTAATCTCCTAATTATCTCCTAAAAACACATTAATGACCATTTTAATATTTTATAGTTTATAAAGAAAATAGAGTTGGAGTGTCTTAAAGCTGCAGCGAATTGTTTTAACATATTATTGCATGTTTACCTGCATGTCTGGGAAGGTGGTCTTTTTGCAGAAATCTAACACTCTGTGACACTGCTTTATGTGCTTGCTTCACCACTTTTTGTATCGTCCTATGTACATGTCTTATATATGTCATTTCATTAACTGTCGTACTTTGTTGCTGCATTAATCACTTACCAATCAGACTGGGGCAGAGACCCACCTTCCCTGCCGTACAAAAGCCATTCAACCCTCAATCTGACCAGTATGGGTACCAAACTTGCAGGTTCTCCTGAGAATAAGTGGATTGATGCAAGTTCTAGGGGGAGTAGGTCCCCAAACTCCTCCCTGAGAAGCAAAGACACAGACTCTGGAAATGTAAGTAGATTTTAACATCAGGGTATGTTTTTGGATAGTCTGCCACATATGAGGAAATCTTTTGCAAACAAATATGCCATATCCTGAGTAATATGCAGCTACAATTTTTTTGGTCCATGCACTTTCTTGGGATTTAAGGTAGCAAATGTCAATTTAGCTCCCTGTCACCATTTTGTATGCCGGTGAAGGGAAAGCAACTTCTTGCTAACCACAGTTTTAAATCCAAATCAAATCTTAAATTTTTTTTTCTAATGGAAAATATTTTTGTCTAGTGAGTGGTATAATATGTTTAATTGTGGTAAATGGAACTACAAGCTCCTATCCCTTACAGCCAAAGAAGGTGCCATCTCAGCCTCTATATGAATTGCAGTTACCATGGTGCTCACATGTGATCAGCTGTAACACCAGCCATTTGAGGGCTTAAAGGTTTGGTTGAGTGCTGAAATAAGCACACTGGCAACCTTGGACGTTGGCATGGGAGACATTAAATTGGTGAAAAAAGTTCCTATTTAAAGAAGAACTCCAGGATTTTTTAAAATTAACCCTTGCATTGAGGTTAACGCCCACACTGCAAGCGTTAATTGTTTGTGTCTAGGTTAAAAAAAAGTTATGCTTGCCCAAAGCTCCAAGCTGGCTTCTTAGACCAGTCCTTCCACTGTCTCTCCCCCTCCTTTGCAGTGGTCTAAGGTCCTGTAAATCAGTGCTCCCCAACCTTTTTATCGCCGCGGACCGGTCAACGTTTGATAATTTTACCGCGGCCCGCTGAGGAGTGCAGATGGGGGCAGCGGGGCTGGTTTTCATTTATTCAATTTTTATTTACTTTGGAAAAATTTTATTTGTTTTGTTTTAGTATTTTTATTTTTTACATTTTTATTATTTTGTTACATTTTTAATATTTTTTACTATTTTTTTTTAAACTTAACTGTATTGCTATTACACTGAAATTTGGATAATAGCCCTGCTAATGCGACATAGGGATAGAGCACTGCACATAGGACCTATATTTAAATATGATTTAAAGCTTGAGGAACACAAACAGTAAAGACTTATTATATCATATTTGGTATTTTTGTTTTATTATTTTTACTTTATCGCCTTTTTATTTTGTTAGGTTTTTAATATTTTTTTTTAACTATTTATTTTTAAACTTAACTGTATTGCTATTACACAGGGGTTAACAAATCCCCCGTGTGATAACATTTGGAGGTGACAGGTACACTTTATTCAACCTGTCACCTCCAACACAGGAGTTCTAGCAGGCACTGTTGCTAGAACTCCTGTGTGGCAGGAACGAGCAGCAGCCGCTGAGGACAGAGGCTGAGGGAGGTGACAGAGCCTGTCACTACTCCACACCCCCCGCTCTGTCCCCGCGCTCCATGCTCTGTCCCCGCTCTTAGCGCTCCACGCTCTGTCCCCGCCCCCCGTTCTTGGCGCCCCCCGCTCTCAGCGCTCATTTAAGAAAAAATAAACCAGCCCTGCTACTTGTCCGTAGCAGGGCTAAAACAGTGTAAAAAGCACTTGCCCGGAACTACATGTCCCGGGCGTCGGGCGATACGAATTCCACACCCCTGTTAATGTTCCGTGGGCGGCCCGGTACCATTTGATCCACGGACCAGTACCGATCCGCGGCCCGGGGGTTGGGGACCACTGCTGTAAATCATAACACCTATACACAGTGTATAGACATGAGGGCGCTGAGGAAAAATTTACAATTCTGCAGGAAGGAGGAGACGGGCTGCAGAGAGCGCCATGACACTGGCCGGCTCAGAGCTTCGGGTGAGTTTATCTCTGTTATTTTATTTATCGATATATCGGCCGCCAAAACATATCGGACGAAAATTGCACTTTTAGCATAATGCCGAAAGAACTATGATTCGGCCGATAAATCGGCGCATCCCCGCTGGGCGCTGCTCTGTGTTCCAGGGGGGAGAAAAGAAAGTAACTGCTGGCTGAGCGCTCCAGGACGAGAGCGCTGTGAGCGGCCGTCTCTCCTCCCACACCGCTCAGCCGCCTATCACAGTCCGGCAGAGCGGTGTGTGGGCGGAGACAATGCTGTCACAGGAGGCTGAGCTCCCTTCCCTGCTCGATCAGCCTCCTGTGACAGCGTGTCAGAGAGGAGAGCGAGCACAAACACTCAGTGATCGCTGAGTGTTTGTAGATAATTGAGGACATGGTATGTTAACTATATCAATTATGAATGAATGGAAGAGATCTACTCCGCCTCATGTTCATTCATAGTTGTAGTTATAGTAAACATACCATGTCCTCATGTTATCAATAATTTTAAAACATTTAAATAAAACATTTTTGGTATCGGTTTCGGCCTGACTATATTTTTTTTGTTTCGGTTTTAGAATTTCCATTTCGGTGCACCTCTAATTTTATCATTTAGATGCAAACAAGCACTTGCGGGGGGTAGCCCCATTGCAAGGGTTAATAAAAATCCTGGAGTTCTTCTTTAAGATTAAACATATTTAAAGTGAAACACACATGCAATACGGTGCACTTTTGAACAGCTTTTATTTGGTCTAGAGTAGCTCTATTTTCATTAAAGCACTAACCGTTGGTTCCTTAACATCTGTTATTACATAAACCATTTCTTATAAAATGAAAAAATGTTACATTTATAATAATAGAGTGGACTATATGCTGCCCTCAGTTCTAGTTGACAGCTGAGACTTGTTTAGGACAACTGTTCAGTACAGTGTTGTCTTTTAATCTATGATAGTGCATGCACTTGCATTTCTGTTGAGGATCTTTCCTCCAGTAGTTAATATTACAGACCTTTTCTGTAAAGTATGCATAGGTGGCATGCAATAGCTATAATATTGATAAAAGCAATGTATGTACAACATTAGTGGATGAATTAGTGGATATTTTTACCCATGTATGTATTCTTTTTTGCATCTGCCAATAACTATAAACTAGATAACATGCAAACTACTTTTGTTTAGGGTAAAGAGACAAAACAAGTGAACGGTCTGAAAGATAGTGTGGATTCTAAACCAAAAGGTAATGCATTGTTAAAGTAACTGTTGTGTGTTATGCTTTCGCCATTTTTTCAACGTAGTGTTTTTGCTGTTCATTGTAGAAGTTGATGTACATCTATCTATTTAAATTGGGTCCCTGATGATTTCATGGTTTGAGTTACCAGATATGAGTTTTGAGTATAGATATGTAACCTGGATCCAAAACTGTACAACAGGTTCTTAGTGTTTCACTGTATATAAAGGTGTTTTGTATGTGACAGTGATCTCCAGCATTCTTCCTCAAGCTTTTTGTGGTACGTACAGACTGTTCTTGGGTTACATTTTTACAGTTTTACCCATTTTGATATAATCAGTACTTCATTTTTGATGTATGATAAAGTGGTTGTAAGATAAATAGAAGAGAAATATATTTTAGGTTATGATGCAAGGTTGCAGGGTCCAGGGTAATTGCTGGAATGTTTGATAATCATCATGATATAAATTACATTAAAGTATAATTAAATAATTTTTTTGCATATATCTACTGCTTGCTAGTTGTAGATATATGCAAAAACATAAAAAAAAGTTACTAAAAAGGGTTTTACTTGTCTCTGCCGCCCGCTCCTGTTCGAAGATCTGAAGATTCTTGAACAGCCGTGCACGATCATGGGGCGGGCGCATGCGCAGTAGAGATCTTTGGCCGGGAGAGGAGGAGAGAGAGAAGGTGTAAAGGTGCCCATACACCTTACAATTATCTGCAGATTTTCTGTGGTCAGATGGAAAAAGTGCAACAGATTGGCCCAGGTGGAGATTACCCCATCCACACAGTTAAGTGTAGATGGAGGAATCTGTTGCACCTTTTCCATCTGACCACAGAAAATCTGCAGATAATTGTAAGGTGTATGGCCAGCTTATGTCAATGCACTCAGCCCGGCAGCATGCGCACACACACACACACACACACACACCACAGACTCCGTGGGTCAGGAAGACACAGCAGTCAGCGCTGGGTCAGAGACCGGCACCAGCGTTGGAGGGATTGCTGAAAACTACAGGAAAGAAGATGATGATCGGATCAAGAAGCATCATTTAAGGTAAGTCCTTAAAGCAGCGTGTGTGATATAGATGTAGTATCTGTGACAATGTACATCGGTGAAAACTTTCTAGATGAATAAAAAAAGTTTGTTAATTTTTCTGATTACTGTAAATAGATCATAGGTTAATGACACACCATGTCTCTGCTGATCAATTAAACAAGTCAACTATATAATTGAATATATTTCTTCTCTTATTCTTTCACTCCTAGTGTTTTTCCCATGTGCCTTGTTTAAATATCTCATGAGTTTAAAGTACAAACTGATACTCTTTGTGAAGAGCCATCAGACAGATCTTGTTGCACAGGGAGGTTGAATTCACCCTCTGGAACACCTTTGTGTGTTCTTCAGTGTGTTTCACACAATATGCATGTGCAGTTTGTTGTTTTTTTCTTTCATCCGTATTAGTGGAAGTTATTAATACAAATAACTTTTAAGGTTCTAAAAATGTATTTTTGTTGGACTGCTGAGCCCTTCTTGGACAGTGTTCGTGAACAATGTTTGAGTAGTGATGATTGGATCAAGAGTATCAGTGAGAGTTTCGATTTGCCTGAACGTTTGAATTCAGTTCTCGCTGATCTGTGGAGAAATATACAATTTAGGGAACCATGTAATGGTGAATATGAATTGCATTACCATTCACACTCTGGACAAATCTGCATGCATATATTTAGGAGAATCAGAGTGCTGTGCTGCTCAAAACATACAAAATATTACCACAATAGTGAAAAGTAACATTGTTCAATGCAGTGATCTAACACCGACTTGTGGACAAAAATAAATATCCTCTAAAAGAACTATGGGGTAAGTGTTTTTCCCCATAGTTCTCTTTAGGGTCACCGGAGGACATATACTAACCACCTCCCGTGACCCAAAGCTCAGTATATCGCGCGCATACTGTGAGTGCCACAGCCGGGACAGATCCCGACACTGTCGAGATCCACCCAGTTGTGTGAGTGACAGCGGGCTCTGCCTATCTAGAGGCAGAGCCAGCTGTGCCCGCCTCCACCCCTGTTCTTCCTCCACTCAGCGCTGGAGGATCGAAGGGAGGGAGCGGTGACTGACTATCGGGAAGTGAGCGGATCGGCAGCATGTTTCTGCTCACTTACTGATCAATAGAGCCAACCTGTTACCTTATCACAGGTCAGCTCACAGGCAACCACTCACCTCATAGATCTCCTTTTAATTGTGACAGTCCACAATTGTTACAAAGTCTCCACATGCATGATAGAGAACAACCCCGTGAGTCTGTGTTGACATAAATCTGTGCTATTCTGTGCAATACAGCAAAGAGAGGTTTCCACCATCCTTCACATATGCATGTTCCACCAATCCGTTCTTTAAAAAAAAAAAACTCCCTCTCGTGAATTTCTTTCGTTCAGAAAGCTGCTCACCTTTTTTGTTCAGACCGATTTTTATAAATGGTCCTACCACAGTGGGTCCCTCTTTGCCCTCTGGCACTCAGAGGTACAATCCTCACCGGCCGGATACTGCTTAATTCAAGCCTCCTGTGTTCCCAGGATACTCATGCAAGGGGTGAAAAGCAGATCATAGTGCACTATGTAGCAGAAATAAACAAAACCTTTTAATTTAAGATGTACACCTGGGCGGAGATTGGTAGCACTGTGTGGAAGCACAAACATCTGTGGAGCCTGGATGGTGATCATCTCCCTATATTATACTGGGATTACTGCCCTGTTAAAACCTTTTATTTAAAATATACTCACAAATGAAAAAAAATATGATTTATTCTTACGAAGTCACAGAGAGTAATAAAAACTTGGAGATATTTGCTCTCCCCAAATCTTTCCAAAACTAGGACAAAAACGGTTGTAGCCGGTATTCAGTGCTAAGGTCTGCACCCATAGTAGGTTGCAGTGTCTCTCAGTGGTGACTGAAGCCCTTGTTAAAAAAAAAGTGCGTGTATATATAGATAGATATAGATATGTGTATATATGTGTGTGTGTATATATAGAGAGATGGAGAGATAGAGAGATGGAGAGATGGAGAGATAGAGAGATAGAGAGATGGAGAGATGGAGAGATGGAGAGATAGAGAGATAGAGAGTATATATAGAGAGATAGAGAGATGGAGAGATAGAGAGATGGAGAGATAGAGAGATAGAGAGATAGATAGAGATAGATAGAGATAGATAGAGATAGATAGAGATAGATAGAGATAGATAGAGATAGATAGAGATAGATAGAGATAGATAGAGATAGATAGAGATAGATAGAGATAGATAGA